CTGTCTCTGGTGAGGCCTCTCGCCGCCCCTGAGCCTCTGGCCTGTACCCCAGTTCTGTATGCACAAATAAATAAATCTTTTAAAAAAAAATATGTTCTTGTGTGATTAGCTTTGGGGGAACTGCAGAGTACTACATTGGTACATGAAGTACAACTAGAGCTGTCTTTTTTTTAAAGATTTATGTATGCATACAGAACCGGGGTACAGGCCAGAGGTGCAGGGGCAGTGAGAACTTCATCAGAGACAGTGGGGAGCAGAACAGGAAGATTGTCCAAGTACACTGCTGAGGGGAGCAGCGGGAGAGACAAGAGAGGTCTGCTGCGCCATGTGGGTCACCTCCAGGGCCAGGGATTAAACTCATGCTGAGGTGGCTGCAGGCAGCTTTGCAGTGCTGTGCTTTGAGTCGTGCCACTAGGAAGGGCCCCCAAGTGGAACTCTCTTAAGCTGTTGGAGTCAATGTAGAAGGCATGGCTTGGGTGGTTTCTTAGGGAATTAAACATGCACTGATCTCGTGATTGTTGTCCCACTCCTGGGTATTCTTGAGAAAGGAAATTCAGGTTTACATAGACACCTGGATATGAATGTTTATGGCAATGCTGACCTCCAAAAGCTGGAACAATCCAAATGTCCTTCAGCAGGTGAATGGCTAAGGAAATGTTGGTATTTTCATGTAGTACTTAGTGGAACATTGCCCAGTAGTTTAAGAGAACAAAAAAGGATATTGTCCTTTATCACAACTTGAGTGGGTTGTCAAAGGCAGCTGAGAGGAAGAAACCTGTCTCAGAAGTTTCCATGCTTATGGTTCTTTTTCAGGGAAGAGTGAGTAAACACATCATTGGTTGCCAGGGCTGGGAGAAGGGGGTGTTTTGCGGTCTGTGCTGAATTCTGCTTGGGACATTGACTACACGAATTAATACATGTGTTCAAACCCATAACTTCTGCAGTGAAGAAGCAACACATCATTCTATTGTACCTCACAGGTTGGCTGGGTTTCTTTCCTGAAATGCCAGAGCAAGCTGGCTGCCTTGTAAAAATAGCCTGGAAGTCCTTATCCTTTGGATCAGAATTGAGGAGGGCAGTCCAGTTCCCCTAGGGAAGCATGCTGGTGCACCTACATGCTTTCCAGGGGCAATTACTCTAGCTAGGGGCAGAAGTTGCATGCCTCTAGCAAGTCACCTAAGTGTATCTTGCTGACCTTTGAGAGGACTGTGTGATCCCTCCTCGTTGGAATTAGGTAACTGCCCTGATGCCACTAGACACCAACATGCGGATGGGGGAGGCTGGCTCGCGGTATCCTCCTGTGAGCAAGGCTGTTGTGTTTGTTACAGCCATCTCAGCAAGTGTAGTTGAGATCCACTTTGCACCAGACACTCATTGTCCCACAAGGAAAGGCTTTATTACACATCCTGCTCGTGTCTTTTGGTTTATAACACCCCCTCTCAGCGAGCGTGATTACTTTTGTGCAACCCTGAGGGTCAGTAGGTGTAACTGTTGAGCACCTAGTATCCCACAGCATGCCTAGGTCATTCCCCAGTAATCTGCATCTGCACCCTCTCCTACCTCCACTAGGGCAGGTATGTGATCTGAGTGCTGTTCTGCTCCCCACTCTAGACGTACGTGTCCCAGTGGCCTTGGACACTTCTGCTCCTGGCTGTCAGTGGCTTCTGTAACTTTGCCCAGAATGTCATCGCCTTCAGCATCCTCAACCTTATCAGTCCTCTGAGCTACTCTGTTGCCAATGCCACCAAGAGAATTATGGTTATCACCGTGTCCCTGATTATGCTGCGAAACCCAGTCACCAGCACCAATGTCCTGGGTATGATGACAGCCATCTTAGGGGTCTTCTTATACAACAAGGTAAGCCAGGGAGGTGTGGGGAATAAGGAGGGAGGTAACCCCTAGACACCTGTGGAGACAGCCAAAGTTAGTTGAGGGAAAAAGGATCGGGCCTTACCAGGAGTCAAAAGGCTGGGTTCCATCTCCCCGCTTTGCTGCCTACTGGATATTGTCTTGGCAGTCACTCCCCAGCCAGGTAGATGATCTCAATGGTGGTGCCACACTCCGACTGGGGCTGTTAGAGATTTCACTCCCTCCTGGCAAAGGCTCTTGTTTGAGAAGGGCAGGTCCCATCTGAGGCACACTTGCACTGGTCCTGAATGGCCATTTGGCTGTACATGGTATGCTCCCTGCTGTCCTGGGACATGTCCTGGGGAAGGGGCAGATGATCTTATTGCTTTTTTGACTTGCAGACCAAATACGACGCAAATCAGCAAGCCCGGAAGCACCTCCTCCCTGTCACAACGGAGGACCTCAGCAGTAAAGAGCATCAGAAGCCTCACAATGGCATCCTCTTCCCCCAGCACGGGGACTATCATGGGCGAAACAACATCTTAACAGATCACTTCCAGTATGGCCGGCAGAGCTACCCAAATTCCTACAGTTTGAACCGTTACGATGTGTAGTCTAGAGGGCAGGGTGGGACCCTTGTGCTACTCTTTTCCCCATCCCCCAGCAGCACCAGAAACTTCTGACAACCAGTGAATGTACAACCCAGTCACGGGGCCATGGGGATGGTACACAACCATCAGAAGACCCTCAGGCCGCAGACCCAAGTCCCTGTGAAGAGGACCGTCGAGAGGAGCGCTGGCATTTCCTGCCCTTTCCCTGGAGTCTCATCTGAGGGCCCTGTCACCGTGGAGGTCTTGGCCAGGCTTGACCTTTCTCCATGGACTTGCTCCCAAGCAAGTGTATTTCAGAGTCTTTGTTCTGTCCAGATGATGTCAAGACCTGCTCTGGAGACGCTGTGGAAACAGACCCAGTACCGAAAACAGTGGCTTCCCAGGTGCTGAGAAAAGAAGGGGGCTAGAATAACAGGCCAGCATTTAGATTGATATGCAGCCAAAGAGGAGCATGACAGTTATGAAAAACATCTCCAGTCATAGAGCTGGACTCAGTTTCCTTATCATCTCCATAGCTGTTTGCAGTTCCAAAGGCTCCAGAGTGCAAACTGAGCCTGAGTCTATGAGTTGCAAGTCGATTTGTGTCTGGCCTGACAGGGTACGTCCCTGGGTAGGAGTAGAGTGGAGCAAAAGGAAATTATGGTCAGTGGTCAGTGTTTCACGCTCTATTCCCTAATACCCATTTTGTCTTTTCTGGTGAGTCTTCACCACTTCTGGGATGACTTAGTCGGGTGGTTGGTGGGACACTGTTCACTTTATGAGGCTCTGCAATTTTTAAAGGGAGTATTTTATAGTTATGTGTATGTGTTTATGCCGTGGTTCCCATTGGGGGGACGCATGAGGACTAGCTTATGGGATGAAAGTCCTTTTGTTTTGATAAGTACTGTCTCAAAAGAAGCAGAATCCCTACTGGTGATGCCTATCCATTTTGGCATTTAGTAGGAAGCAGCAGAAGTGTTTTGACCACGATCACTGAAAGTGAAACAAATCAAGAATATCATCTCAGTAGTCTGTGTGACAGACAAGCCTACAGTGTTTATCTGTTCTTGTGTTTTCGCATTATGATCTGAATCATGTCCTGGTGAAGGCAAAACGCCAAGCTAGCGTTTAGCTTGCCAATTCATATTCTTTGGTCAAGAGTAAGTTTGGGTTTTTGCAGAATCACATCAGGAAGATTATGTGACCCTAACAGAAATCCCCATGTGCCAAGGTCCAGGTCAGGTCCCCCTATTTCCTGGCACCACTAAAGGACTATGCCCTCAGAGAGGTGCCACTAGCTTGGCTGGTGGATTCCTTCACCACCACCCTCAATCTCTTGGACAGGTTTTGGGGTACGCAGCATGTGGGACAGCAGGTTACCCCTTTACATCTTCCGTGTACAGAGGAGTGCTAGACACCAGGTCGGTTCATTTTTGGTGATTGGGATTTTATATTTAAGAGATTACATTTTGTTATATTGAGAGTGGGCTTTTCCTGAGACTCTGGGATCCCCTTCTGGCCTGTGAGTTTGTACACCTCTGGCAATAGAGGTCCCTGTTGATTGTTGTTTGCTCACTTTATCTTTAGTAGGGCCCCCAAATCTGAGATCATGTAAGACAGGAGGCAGCAGTCCTGAAGGTGCAGAGTGTGTACTGGGTGCTTTCCCCGAAGGGGCTAGCACCTGGAATCTTCATTAGTGAACAGATGGGGATAAGTTTTGCACTGCAAATATACAAATTTTATTTGTAGTAATTGATTTCTTGAACTTAAAATCAAAGTTCAAAATGAATTCTGCCTCCGTACGTTTAATGACATTTATGATGATGATGAAATTTATGTATTGCTTTCTCCAATGCAAGACCTGCTGGTAAAGGGAAATTGCTGACTGGTTTTATTTTGGTTTATAAAGGCTACTTAACTTTGTACATAAATTTACAGCAAGTACATACACTGGAACAAATGACAATCATATACACTAAATCATCAGATCAAGACAAAGATACACTTGATACTTGAACATTCAGAATTGACATTATCCTCTTGAAGGTCATTTTCCCATCACTGCTGCCCCAGCCTCTGCCCTCTTCTCTGTTCACACCTGCAGCTGTCCCCTCCCTGAGGTTTGTGGCAGTGGATTTGGTTCGCCCATCCATACTACAGTCTGGCCTGCAACACTAACCCTAGCCCAACTCCTTCATTTTACAGAAGAGGAAACTGGGTTCAGAGGGCATTTTTGAATAGTGTTTGTTCACTATTTTGAGATTTAGCACCTTAAACTCATTATAGGGAAAACCCCCATTACAAAGGAGAGAAGCCTATTGATTTATTCAAGTGGAGAAGTACCTGGAGGTTTGGAGTTACCCTGTGTATTTGGTAGACATCATGCCAACAGGCCCTTTTATTATCTCTGGGATATGACCAGGTCCAGATTCCTCTAGTTCTAACAGCCTTAAGGGCATATAGAACATTGAACTTCTAAAGGATCTGCAAATTGTGAATTCTCTTTTCTATGTGTCATCTGTTTTCAAGACTTAATGCTATAGACTGTTCTGTGGAATGATACTGTGTATATTCACTGAAGGCATTTACCAGAAATAAAAGATGGTCTCCAGGGAATTAAAGACTGTTGCCAATTTGTCAGTGAGGGTTTCTTTGTAAGTGTGCTCAACAACTGAACTTCTAAGTAGTAGAAAGAATAAACCAACTTAACTCTAAAAGTCAGGTATATTACCTCTTTCATTTCTGAGCCAAAACTTAGGAACTGTAATTTGTGGATTTAGGACACTGTATTATAAAAGAATCACAACTGAAGAGTTAATGACATGCCTTTACTGAACAGACTAACATGGAAAATCCAATAATACTGTGTATTTCTGAGGAATGGCAGCTAATATTGAATACCTACTATATGCCCAATATAGTGGTGTCTTTATACACCATCCTTATAATCAAAACCTTTGTATTGTTTTATTAACCTTATCTTACCTCCCTGGTGGTGCAACTGGTTAGGACGCAGCTAGTTCAGCCACTTCAGTGCAAGTTCTATCTCTGGCCCCAGAGGTGACCCACATGGTGCCGCATACCTCTGAGGTCTTGCCTGCTGTTACCCATCAGCAATGTACTTTGTTGATCTGCCTGTTCTGCTCCCCGCTCTGTCTCTGGTGAATCCTTTCACTGTCCTGTGCCTCTGGCTTGCACCCCAGTTCTGTATGCATAAAATAAATATTTAAAAAAAAACTTTAAAAAAAGAAAATGAAGCCCAAAGGAGTTAGGTCACTTGTCCTGGGTCATAGAACTACTTGAGAACTACTTGAGTTAACCTCCAAAGCCTGTATTACAACAGAATTTCCCTTCAAATGCAGTTGAAAGGTATTAGTGTGCACTAAAACAATTAATTGCCTGCATCTTTTAATTCTATTCAGTGATACACTAGCATTTAATGTCAGGTCAGACTCCAACTTTCAGCGCTGAGTGTGTGGGGAGAAGTGTTAGCAGCAGATAGCTGCTGTTGGTAGAAAGTGGAAAAATCCTTAGAGTCTCTGAGGGGCACAAAGGAACAAAATAAGGACTTGCATTACATTCACAGGATCTTTGCACATTTAGTGTCTTGTTTAATCAACAGATGTCAAGGGAGGCATCAGCCCCAAGTTAGAGGGAAATGGAAACATTTCCCCTTGGTGCAAACCCAAGACCTGGGAGTACATGACTCAATGTCCTGCAGAGCAGCCATGATAAAATAAGCAGTTTTGGTTTTCCTCACCTTTGCCATATACTCCTAGGGAGTCATTGCCATCAAGGTGTATATCCTGCCCTTCATTTCACTGGCAAACTATGGTAGGAGCCCTCTGTCCAGATAACTCGAATAACTATGGCACTCACTTAAATTCTGGCATCACAGGCTCTGCATCTGGGACGGGGTACAGCCATGGCTTTCTACCTGGCTGGGTTTAAGATGGTCCTGTTGTTCAGACATTGTTTCCCCAAGGCAGCTCCTTTGTCTGGTAACATGGATCAGGCCAAGGAATGCTCCTTACTCCCAGACTAGACAGGACCTCTCTTTCCTTCTGCAGTGGCTACAGTAGGTCCAGTTATTGTAGAAGAGACAATCACACTAGGCTTAGTTTTTACTGAGACTACAGGTCTGGATGAGTACATTTCTTCCATCACCCACTACTTTTTAAAATAACTTTCACTGTCTGTACTTTTATGTTTGAAAAAAATTGTTCAAGCAAATAGCCATACAGATGTTAAGAATGAGGTAGATCTATGTATAACCATAGGGAACAATTTCCAAAGTGTATGGGTGAGCCAGACATACATATGCTTGTGAATCCAGTTTATCTTGTGAGGTTTATCCTAAAATGCTACACAAGAAAATGGATACAACAGTTGCCTATGCAACATTTGTTTTTTCAAAACTGGCATGTTATTTTGTAACCTGCTTCCTTTTTTAAAGTAATATACCAGAAACATTACTGGGTTATTAAATATCCTTCCTTAATTGTTCCTGCAAACATTGTATTGTTACAGGAATGTGCCTTAGTGAACCTACCCCTACTGCTACACATTTAATACTACTTTACAAGATATGTTTGCAGTGTATGCACATTTGATTAGAATAAATTCCTCATGGTGTATTTGCAGGCTCAACGCAGGAATGCAAATGATTTTAAACTTTTTCCATTTCACATCTTGAGTCTGCCCCAAAAGCAGGCGCATCTGACCAGGGGTATGCATTTTGAGTTTTGTTTCCAAGTTCTTGAAACCATCACTGCAGCATCCACTTCTGCCAGTGTTCTACCAGTATCCTTTCTTCTTATCAGTGGGTTCTGATTTAATCTACTGAGCTGAGTCTAAGTGAGGCCCTATGGTGCTTAAAATTCCATTCTTCTTAAACACTAAAATATATGTAGGGAAGTAGTGACCACCATGCAGGCATTTGTGGGTGGGGAGTGAGGGTAGGGGCAGTAAAGCAATGTGAAATATGCACACCTTTGACTCAGAACAAAGTTAATCTATTCACTTATAGTAGTCTAACAACAGAAGCAACTGTAGAATATGACTTCAATAACTTATGGTAAATCCCTACCACGGAGTTCAATGCAGCTATTAAAATGACCACAACAATTGATAACCTGTTTCGATTCATAGATCCTGTTCAGAATCTGGAAAATGTCATGTATATCTCCAATTCATGTTAGTGCAGATTTTGTACAATACTATCTCTAGCCCATCGATATGGATCACAATTTAAAACTTTGTGAAACAGATCTTCACTAGCAATGTAAAAATGCCCACTCACTCCAGACTGTACCAGAGTTCCTTTTGCCTGTAGTGTTCACATAGCTAGCTGGCCCAGTTGGGCTGTCCTTGCAAGCCTCACTTGGGAGGGGCCTTCCCAATAGCCCTACCAGTGCAGGTCCCACCCTGCTCTTACCGTGGTCTCCACATCCACTTTCTTTACTAATACTGTGGTAATGATACACCTGCTTACTGATTTATAAATCTCTGCTCACCACAGACTGGGATCATGAGAGCAGCAGTTGGGGTGGACCTGTTCATCCTTAAGCTACAGTCTGCAGTTTTGTAAGCCAAGAAATGTTCTTTATAGGTGAACATTTGCAATAAACCGGTAACAGGGCGGCCTAACTTGGGCTCTCCCCGCCCCTCTCTTGTGGGGGAGGGAGTTAAAACTACTCAATTTCAAAAAGCAACTATTTTGAATTCCACCGTTATCAACATTTTGCTTTGGTTAAATGAGTATCTACATAAGTAGGTCCTTGAATAAGGCGGTTTTCTAAAATAATGCCAAAGCGGATAGCCAACCTCCTTATTTAGAGGCCCCCTTACTTTTGTATACCTCCTTTCCTTTAAAATCGCAATTCTTAAGAACCTACCCACGTTAAATCTTGGATTTTGCCTTTGGCCCCCAAGGTCGGTCTTGTTCTTTACATGAAGTTTGCTGATCCCTGGCCTAGATAGAGCAAAACCTGGGACACAGGAGACAATTCACTGGCGCCAGGACGACAGATTGTATAACAGTAATAAGGAAGTTTATCTAAAATGTTTGTCTTGAAAAAAATCGGAAGTTACAATCACCAAGTGTTGACCGTGGAACGACTTCTGCTCTGGTCATCCGTTCCATGATTGGCAAAGGTTTAACTTCAACGTTTTAGAAGGCACAGGACCACACCTTTCCGGAAGTCTCTGTCCCCGCGGATCGTGGGCTCACCCCGCTCTTTTACACCTCCTGTCCGGCAACATCACCGGCCTAGGGCCGCGGGCGGAGGCGGGCGAGCATAACCCCAACCCTGCCAGGAGCGTCCTCCGGGTCGGCTTCCACCCCTGGTCTGGGACTTCCCAGAAAGTTCTCACCACCTCGTCTCTTTACCGTAGCCCCGAGAAAGAAATATGGGCCCTGATCAGGGCAGGAACTCCTAGTCGCCGAGTACCGCAGAGAACGCCCCAGCTGCTCCTAACGGCTGCCAAAGCCCTCCCTGCCGCTCTAACACGCCGCGCGCCAGAGAACCGCCGCGCGCATGCGCGAGAATGCCCAGGCGATCGCGCGCGCGACCTCCAGTGGCTTCTTCCCGCCCCCCTCCTACCCTCACTTCCGGTGTTTCCTGGCGACGGCCGTAAGTGACGGGCGGAAGCGCCCACGAGGCCCGCCGTAAAAGGTCCCCTCGCGCCACTTCCGGCCGGCTTCCGCCGACGGCGCTGGTGGGCGATCGTGAGGCGCCGGAGGACGTTCCCAGCGGCCGGAGCCATGGAGATGCCGCTGCCGCCTGACGGTGAGGCCCAACCCGGTCGCGGGAGCCGTTTCTCTTGCCCCGGAGTCCCCTGCTAGCTTGCCCCGCCTACCAGGGGTACCGGGGCCTCGGAGGGGGCGGGGCTCGGCCTCCCGATCTCGCCTGCGGCCCTCCCGCAGGTCCCCGCTTTCCCGGCGCGCGTGTGGCCCCTGCCGGGACCCGTACAAGAGCGGCCTCAGCGGGGCCCACCCCTAGAGACCCCAGCCCAGCTGTCGGGGGCTGGGACGCCAGGGCCTCCAGATTGGGGCGGCCCTCGCTGACGCCTGGCGTGGCCTTCTCTTCGTCCTCCAGACCAGGAGCTTCGAAATGTCATCGACAAACTGGCCCAGTTCGTGGCTCGCAACGGGCCCGAGTTTGAAAAGATGACGATGGAGAAGCAGAAGGACAACCCGAAGTTTTCGTTTCTGTTCGGGGGCGAGTTCTATAGTTACTACAAGTGCAAGCTGGCGCTGGAGCAGCAGCAGCGTGAGTCTTGTCTAACTCCCAGGCCGCCCCTTCCACGATTCATTACTGTGGTTCCAATTCGGTCTTTAGCACAAGCCACCTTTCTTGGGGTCATGTGGTCTTTGTGAAAAACAAACAGCTCTGGGTTCATGAATCCTTGTGCTCTTTCCAGGGCCCTGCACCTAGCGTTTGCTAGGTTCGGGAGTTGAGAACGGGGTTATCGATCTGGCTGTGGGCTTCCAGATCAGGGATTCCTCTCTTGTTTTGCAGATGTGACCAATGAGGGCGAGTGACTGGTTCAGTCTTTTCCAGGCAGAGAGTGATAGAGGTCTGATGGGAGTCCTGAGGCAAACATTGTCTAGCCCCATGAGTGGCCTCTTTATCAGTTCAAAGAGGTCTTTGTGTGTTTCAGATTCTACGTTACAAACTAAAATGAATTGCCCTTCTAGGTTTACTTTTTGGTAGTTGTTAACCGATGTTTACTGATTTGGGCATCAGAATTTTGTCCTTGCCCTGAGAGAGTTTAAAATGGAGTTAGGAATCACAACTGTAGGTAAACTAGTAAGAAAATCAAGACCTCTCAAGGCCCATATCTGTTTTCTAGTGAAACAAGGACTCTTTTCTAGATTCCTATTGGAATAATGAGTAGGGGATTGCCAAGTAGATGGGCATTGAAAGGTGCTTGCTCCCTGGGGCTAGCCAGACTTTATCAGGGTTATCATTATGTGCAAATATATGGTACATAAGTAGGTGTTTGATAGTTTGTAAAACAAAGTAGGAGCAGTGGATTGAAAAAACTCAGTGCATCTAGGAATCTTTCAGGAAAATTATAAGCAGCGTAGCCTGGAATAGAATGTGTGTGAATGAGGCAAAAGTTTGCTCTGGAGTGGTAAATGCCGGGGTTGTGTTTGGGGTTTCTCCTTCAGCTCATGGGTTCTTATGGTGGCTGTTCCAGTTTAAGATAGGGGACAGGGAGATTGGTCATCTGAAATTGTAGATAATATGTTATATATGCTTATATGTTTATGGAGCAACCATTCCTTAACCTCACTATTCCTAGTTTAAGACACCTGCTGTAGACCGTAGGAAGCCATAAAAAAAAAAATTGAACAAAGGCAAGATAGGTCAAGGTTATGTAGCCAGTATGGATGGACTAGAGGGAGCATCAGAAACTCAGCAGACCAGTGGAGGGGGTAGTTCATGGTAAGGTATAGATTAGGTGAGTAGGCTTAGTTGGAAGTGAGCATGGGGGAAATGGGGATTAGGGATGGAACCTGTGATGGAGGGACGCACCAGTTGGATATGATTAGGATGATGTCAACAGGCAGGGGAGGACAGGAATTTGGTTCAAGTGAGGGTCAGAAATTGGGGGCTACTTGGGACTTGGTGCCATAACTGGGTAGGCTAAGATGATGTGGCAGGAAAAGTACGGGGTTCAGTATATGCTTTTTGCAGTTAACAGTATCTCAAGTGGAGTGAAGAATTTGTTATTAGTCAGCTAGAAACTGAGAAGTGTCAGGCACAAGAAAGAACAAGTGGAGGGACCAAAAACCCAGAGAAGTAAGGATTTTTGTGAGTTGCCAAAGGGAGGGTGCAGAGCATGGCACACTGGCTGAACTTAGGAAGCTTCTGCACACTCTGGGGTGGTCAGAGAGCTTCTGTAGAAGCTTCTGCACACTCTGTAGAGCCACTGTGTCACCTGTCTTCCTTCATTCTGGTTGAGAAGGCTGAGCCCCAGAACTATTCTAAAGTGTTTCCCAAGATGGTGAAGGACCTGTTGGGGTTATTTTATTGTCATTTTAAATTTCCTTTCTGTTATGGAAATTATGCTTTTGCATAGCCCAATAAAAATTAAACCATGAAAGAGGTGTAAAAATACAAAAACATGCCCTTGCCATTTCTATCTTGTCTATTCTCAGTATCATATACCACTTCTATACTTGGCCAGCCATCAGCTTGCAGTGCGATAGGGACTCGGTGTTGCTGAACATCCAGTTCCTCCCACCTGCAACAGCCAGGCCTCAGTAAGCATGGTGATCCCTGAGATCCAGGAGGTCCAGGTGCCTCGCTTCTGCCTACTTCCTACTTTCTACTTCCACCTTTCAGCTGGGAGCACCTGAGAGAAAGCTGAAGGGACAGGACTGTGCACAGGGAGAGCTGTGCTAAAGGCAGTTAAGATGACAGCCAAGTTGTGGCACTGATATCAGGGACACAAGACAGACTAGGGTGTAATCTGAGAGGCTGGCTGGACAACATTGGGTGACTTACTAGTGTGGGGTGCTAGGGAAAGGGAATTGTATGTTCCTTTCACATTTAGGGCAAGAGGGCTCTGTTAGGGGTTCATTTGGAAAGTCAGTAGACTCCAGATCCAGAGTTCCAGGAATGCAGGGTGGAGGTGACAGATTTGGGGAAACAGTGTGTGCAGATCTTAGGACGATAGCCTCAGGCATATATCAGATTTCCTGGGATGCAGAGGAGCAGGGGCCTCACTACACATGGGGGGTATCCTAGCTGGGTCAGATAGGGAAGACTGGGGTGGCCTAGAGAGAGACATGGACTTGAGACATGGCCAGTGGACAGAGTAAGGGGAGCCTCTGGGAGTCAGATGCAGGAGTGGTGAAGAATTGAAAGTGGCACTTAGCTAGAATTGTTGAGAGAATGGTATGGCATAAAAGAATTTTTAAAGCTGGAAGATTTGTGTGTTTAGATGCTGCAGGGAAAGTTGGGTCAGTAAGGGAGAAACAGCAAAAGAGCAAATCTCCTGAGGGAACATCCCTGGAGAGCTGGGGGATGGGAGGGGGGTCGAGAAATCAGTCCATAAATTATCTACCAGAAGGCCTGTGCCAGACAGCCTCAGTGATACCCTCTAGCCCACTGCTCTTTCTGACTGTCTGAAATCTGGGTCCCTTTGGAATGAGACTCTGGAGGGCTGCAGCAATACATGACACTGCAGACCAGACAAGGCCCAAAGGCAGAGAAGAGTCCTTCCATCCTGGACCCTTCCTCAAAGACTGGTCCTCCTGCATGACCAGGTTGCAGGTGTAGGTGGCTGTCCAGCAGTCTGGTCAATTGCTTGTCTTCAGTGTAAACAGTGGCAGAGCTTTGAACTAGCTGCTGAGGAGACTGGAAGGGCTGATTGTCCCACAGCAGCTATGACCTGAGTTCATCAGTTTGGGCCTAGGTGAGGTGTTAAGGTACAGGCAAAAAGACTGGGGCCAGGACAGTGGGCAAGATTGGGTGCCAGGAGAGGATCACATGAAGGTAGATGGGACCACAGAAAGTGGCCTGGGGTACACCTGGTGAGATTGGGGACTGACTTGGGTGGGAAGAGGGTAACTGTCACAGCATGGAGATGGTGAGCATAAGTAGAGGGAGCCCCTAAAACTGCCTGACAGGTAACCAAGGAGACACTTCCTCATGGGATCCCTTTCTTCCTCTTCTGCCAGTCATCTGCAAGCAACAGGGCCCAGAGCTGGAGCCAGCCACTGCCATGCCCCCCCTGCCCCAGCCCCCGCTCGCTCCTGCAGCACCCATCCCACCAGCCCAGGGTGCGCCATCTATGGATGAACTTATCCAGCAGAGCCAGTGGAATCTGCAGCAGCAAGAGCAGCAGTTGCTGGCCCTCAGACAGGTACGTGGTATCCCCCTTCCCTTCACCTGTCAGCCTTGAAATGGGGATCCTGCGGCAGGTGCAGCTGCTCCTCCGTCCTTTCCCTTTACTCACCAGCCTAGAGACAAGAGTGGCTACCTCCCCCTCCCTGTTGTCTGAGATGGGTACCAGGAGCTTACGCTATGCCTTATCTTTACATCTGATTTTTGGGACTTACAACGCTGTCAGGCTTACAAATAAGTCTATCAGATTACCCTACATCACTGACAAGGGCTGCGCATTGTCTAGGTATACATCAGCAGCTGTCACCCAGTGCTGCCACCACCCATGGTTTCGCAGGACCACTGACTCTGGACAAGGCTTTTTTTCATTCTAGTGAAATCACTGCATGAGCTCTTTGACACATGTGCTCCGGCAGATGCCTACAGAATGTTAGAAGTGTCTGATGCCACTGGAATTGTAACAGGCCTTCTGGAGCCATGGGCAGTAAGAGCTCCTCACTAGATCACCCCGAGTTGTCATGGGAAGGGCCCTTTGTCCTGATCCACCACAGTAAAATACTTTGATGAAACACAATGAGATGAATTGCCAGGTAAAGAAGATAAATAGAAACAAGACATATAAAACCCTGTTACTAGATTCAGAACATAGTTAACCCTGTGAAAAGAAAGCATTTGCAAATGATCGCCTTCAGTGTCTGCACATTGTGCGTCACTGGAGAGTCAGGTTGTGCAGCCCTGAGTTGACCCTGTACGGACAGTGGCAGGAAGTCAGCCATCTCATAATTTGCCTACTAAAGGGGTAATCCCAGTGCTTTAATCTGCAGTTCCGATTACTAAAGAGTCCCTGTCCTATCTCCTGGGGACCATTGATATGTTTTCTCTTCGGTGGTTTACACCATCACTCATTTTTCTGTTTTTTTTTTTCTTTTTTTTTCTTTTTTAAGATTTATTATGCACAGAAGAACTGGGGTACAGGCCAGAGGTGGGGGGGAGGGGTGAGAGAGACCGTGTGGAGCAAAACAGGCAGATTGCCTGAAGTACATTGACACGGGAGCAGTGGACAGGACAGGAGAGGTCTGCCACGCCATATGGGTCAGCTCCCTGGCCAGGGATCAGTCTTGCACCACAGGGGCAGTGGATAGCTTCTTAGTGCTGTGCTTTAACCCATTGTGCCACCAGGGAGGGCCCTCATTTTTCTGGTTTTGTTGAATTGATTTGTGGGTGTTCCTTGTCCCTCTGGGTCTAACCCTGTCTGTCATCTCTAGCACAGCCACCATCCCCTGCTTTGTCTTGTCCTGTTTTAACCTTTGCCCACTATGTCCATGACTGACTCAGAAGCACATATAGGTTACAGAGTAGGGAAGCAGCTAAGAGCCCTCCTCAAGTGTTTGGTCCCACCTGATCTTTCAGGAACAGGTTACAGCGGCCGTGGCACATGCAGTAGAGCAGCAGATGCAGAAGCTCCTCGAGGAGACCCAGCTGGACATGAATGAATTTGACAACCTGCTGCAGCCCATCATTGACACATGTACCAAGGATGCCATCTCGGTGAGCTTATGGGGCTGTCCAGAGACACCTCCCCTAAGGTGGCCCCCATAGCCTCCCTGGGCCAGATCTCTCAAAGTGCCATTTGTGCCCTTCTCTCTTGTTCCTTTGGCAGCTTGGAGGGGCAGGACAGCACATAGGCAGGTGGGCTGCTCCTAGCTGAAAGGTGGCAGCAAGGCAGGCAGAGGCCATGGAGTGGTGTGTGAATCTGACCCCCTGTGCCCCGTGGATCTGCCCCACTTACCCAAACCTGGCTGTTGCAGGCCGGGAAGAATTGGATGTTCAGCAATGCCAAGTCCCCGCCACACTGTGAACTGATGGCTGGCCATCTCCGGAACCGTATCACAGCCGACGGGGCACACTTTGAGCTGCGGCTGCACCTCATCTACCTGATCAATGATGTGCTGCACCACTGGTGAGGCCCAACTCCCTCTTCCGCTCCTGCCAGCCACCCAGGATCATGGGGTCTGTGGATGGACACTGGGTCACTTACCCTTAAACAGGCAGGAGCTCTGGACCAGAGCCTTCCAAGGGGAGGATGCTCTGCCTCCGCTCCGCAGCCCCTTCCCAGCCCCTCACCTCACCTGGAGCTCTTCCCTTCCCGGAGTCACTGAGGGGCAGTGTCTCTGCACTTCCTGTATTGGCTGCTCCCCTTCCTGGTAGCATGCACCCACCAACTGATGCTCTACTTCAGGGTCCCATCCCCTTGTGCCCCCTTTGCTGACCTTTGGGATGACCCTACATAGCCTACCACCTTCCCCCCCACAAGTAAGAGTTTCCTTCTGCACAGCCTCCTTGGGGCCTAGGAAACTGAACTTAGGGGCCAGAGGCAGTGGGGAGGAGTGGGCATGAGCACATGATGGTAGCGGAGCTGGCATAGCCATGAGGGTTGCCTGAATCCTAGGGCTTTGCGCTTGTCTGGCTAAAGGGGGCGACTTGGTGAGCAAAGGGGAAATTAGTCCAGCCTCTGCTCCCACAGACCTTGTCCTCCTCAGTCCTGTCCCATTTGCTGTGTGACACGGGTGCCTCCATTCACTCGGCTACTTCCAGCATCTTTTTGATATCTCTGTGGGGAATAAGCTGCCCCTTGAACCTTCTCTGCTTCTGCCAGCCCTCTCTGTCTGCAGGGAGCTTTGCAGCCATCCTCTTCTTGGGCTTTGCTCTGACTTCCCACAGGACTGCCTCCTCTCTGAGCTGGCTGTGAACTGGGCACTCACACTCTCTCAGCTCCCCAGGTTGCACAGCACCCAGAAGGGTGCTGTTGTCTTTCTGCCCCACCTCCTTCCCTGGAGACCATCATTGGGCTCTGCCTCTACCCTGCTGGGTATCCTCCAGGTCTCTACACTCTTATGTACCCAAAGAGGACAGAGCTAGCTGCCCACCTCCTGGGCCTTGGGTCCTGTTTCGAAGGCATCCTAGATACCTGGCCTGCCTGCTACATTCCCTCTGCCGCCTGAAAACTAGGGACCCACTTGTGTCTTCTTGAGGCTGCACAGACCATGCCTGATCCATGGTTTCCTTGGTGGACAATCTGACCTTTAGAGGTCCTGTGTCTTCTGTCCTTAGTGCCACCCCGGGTGGGGGGTTATTCACTGATGAGATCAGACTTTTCCTTCCTCCCATCTGTCCCTCAGGCCCAAGCCCCCAGCACAGGTTCTGTGGGGAGCCCAGCCCTCATCCCGCTGGGTTGGGAGCCCATGTCCCAGAAAGGCAGAGGGTGCTGTGGCTGGAGCCACGATGGTAACGGGCGCGTGGCCGGGTCCCGCCCCAGGGCCCTGACGCGCGGAAGGTCTCTCCCTCACAGCCAGCGCAAGCAGGCCCGGGAGCTGCTGGCTGCCCTGCAAAAGGTCGTGGTGCCCATCTACTGCACCAGCTTCTTGGCCGTGGAGGAGGACAAGCAGCAGAAGATTGCCCGGGTACACGGGGCAGCAGGGCAGTGGTGGGAGAGGGCCAAGGACTGTGGGACTCTGCTTTCCCTGACACAACCTCCCCTTCCCATACCAGCTCCTGCAGCTCTGGGAGAAGAATGGCTACTTCGATGACTCCATCATTCAGCAGTTACAGAGCCCAGCTCTGGGGCTAGGCCAGTACCAGGTGCGTACTATGCTTAGCACACTCCCAGAGTGGGGCCCATGGCTCCCCTGGGTTGAGTACAGTGGTGAATACTGGAATGCATTAAGCAGTGGGGGACCTAGCTCACCTGCAGAAGCCAGTGAACCTCTCTCAGGAGCCTGCCAGCTTCTAGCATGTGTGTGACCAGATTGCCTGATTTGGGCACAACTCTGTATGGTGTCTTCCACTGTTTGCCCCCCATCTTCTGGGGTACCCCCTTATACCTGTGGCATTGCCATGCTAGCTGCAGAATAATAGGCATAACTCACTCTCTCCTCATGAAGGATCAGTCTTCCCGCTCAGGCCTGGTTGGCTGAGTGTTACCATTTCCCTCTGTGATAGCCCTAAATGCCCTTCTCCCACAGGAAAGTAAGCTCCAGGATGTTTGTTGGCTTTGTGCTTTTGACTGTGTGACAGCCCGCACCTGGCTGTCTTTGTTTATCCCCGTTCTTAGGGAATTATAACCTGTACTGCAAAATACATCTCCGTCACCAGTCTTTGACTGGATGTAGGCACTCGGTTGTCAAGAGCATATTGGTCATTTTATGTGACAGTCATCTGCTTCAGGCTGCGTGCCACTCCCCCACAATGTCCGCTACTTCTTGGGAGTCAGTTCCTCAAGGCGTGGGACTGCAGGGAGTGTCAAGCCCTGAGCCCCGCTGCTCTCCCTTTTGGTGCCAGGCAACACTCATCAATGAGTACTCCTCAGTGGTGCAGCCAGTGCAGCTGGCCTTCCAGCAGCAGATCCAGACCCTCAAGACACAGCATGAGGAGTTTGTCAACAGCCTGGCCCAGCAGCAGCAACAGCAGCAGCAGCAGCAACAGCAGCAGCAACAGCAACAGCAGCAACAGATCCAGATGCCGCAAATGGAAGCTGAAGTGAAGGCCACACCCCCACCCCCCGCCCCACCTCCAGCCTCTGCGCCTGCCCCAGCTATCCCACCAACCACACAGCCCGGTATGTGGACCCCCACACCCACCCCTGGAAAAGCACCCTTCTCTCCCAGAGGAGAGTCTGTCCCTTGGGTCCCATCCTGGGGCCAGATCTAATCTGAAAGCACCAGGCATGGTGACTTCAGTGCCTTACAACTGGGACAATCCTTACTCTGTATAAATAGTCCCAGGATGCAAATAGAGAGAAAAGTTATCAGTCATTTTTGAGAAGAGGAAAATTTTTATACCAGATGAACAAAGACAGGGAAAGGATCCCAAAATATATCCCAGGATCTCTGACCCTCGATATAAAACTACTAGATAGAATCTTAATAAATGAAATCCAGCGGAGTATTTAAAAAATATCTGACCAAATAGGCTTCTCAGCATTATATAAGGATGGTTTAACATAGAAAGCCTAATAAGGTCACATGGAAGAGGCAACTTTTTACCTAGATGCAGGAAAGATACTTCATAAAATTCAGTGATTAAAAACCTCCAAATAAATGAAACTGGAAACGTGGAAGTAGAGTGTTTACAGTAAAACTTTCTCAGAAGGGGGTATGTCCCATGCAAGGATTTAGGTGGAAATGAATTCCTAACCTGGGGTGACCTGGGGTGGCTGTTGCTGCCAGGCCTTTCTGACTAACTGCTTGCCTGGCTCTAGATGACAACAAACCTCCCATCCAGATGCCCGGTTCCTCCGAGTATGACACCACAGGAGGGGTCCAGGACCCTGCCACTGCCGGCCCCCGGGGCCCTGGACCCCACGACCAGATCCCACCAAACAAACCCCCATGGTTTGACCAGCCTCACCCTGTGGCTCCTTGGGGCCAACAGCAGGTATTTCTTAAAGCTTAACTGTGGGTGCAGGTGGGGCAAGCTTGGGCCCGCGTGGGGCGGGGCAGGTGGGTGGCAGTTTCTGCGATGGATGGGTTCCTAGTAGTTCACCAGGCAGGGGCAGCCATGTGCCCCTGCTGCCTTGGGAGTCTGGGCACAGGGGTGTGGGCACTGCTCAGAGAGCCAGTCACTGACCTCTTATACTTAGAGCAGTACCTGGCTGATGGGCCTGCCGCCCTGGCACGCTGGGGTTATGGTCAGGGCAGCTCTGCTGTGCTGGACCCACAGGGGCTCATATCTACTTTTTGCCTTGCAGCCTCCCGAGCAGCCCCCCTACCCGCACCACCAGGGCGGGCCACCCCACTGCCCACCCTGGAACAACAGCCATGAGGGCATGTGGGGTGAGCAGCGGGGGGACCCTGGCTGGAATGGCCAACGTGATGCCCCCTGGAACAGCCAGCCTGACCCAAACTGGAACAGCCAGTTCGAGGGCCCCTGGAACAGCCAACATGAGCAGCCACCCTGGGGTGGGGGCCAGCGTGAGCCACCCTTCCGCATGCAGCGGCCACCGCACTTCCGGGGCCCCTTCCCACCCCACCAGCAGCACCCACAGTTCAACCAGCCGCCTCACCCGCACAACTTCAACCGCTTCCCGCCCCGCTTCATGCAGGACGACTTCCCCCCACGGCACCCCTTTGAGCGACCGCCCTACCCTCACCGCTTCGACTACCCTCAGGGGGACTTCCCTGCCGGTGAGTTCAGGGATTGCTCAGCCCCTAGTTTCCTTAGCACAGGTCCTGTGTGCCAGGCCTCGAGAGCCTAGCAGGCAACTGCCTGTGTCAGCATGATCCCTGGTGTGACCCCCTAGCAAAGTGAAGGTACAACTGGTGGGGAGATTAAGAAGTTGGTGCAGAACCCCAGAAGGTGGGAAGACCCCAGGAAGGAGAACTGAGACTGGGTGGGCCCAGCCCCTGTTAACTACACCCTGGCACACGCCATCTGTCCTTCAGGCAGGGGCGAAGAGGGTTCTACAGCACCCAGGCAGTGAATGGGCCCTGTCCTTGTCTTGGGGGTTTTCGTTTGCTTTTCTGTATCTTAGTTTTTTGAGAAGCTCTCTGGTTTTGTTGAAAAAATTCCTCCCACTCTTACTGCTTCTATCTTAATTTGTAAATCCATCCTTGACTGAATTCAGCTTGGAGACCACTAAGTGTGTGAGTTTGGGGGGGCTACTAGAACATAGCACTACAGATAAGCAATTCCATAGCAAGCATTTACAGTCTCTGCCCTGCAGGCTGGGGGTCCAGGATGAAGGTGTGGGTAGGGTGGGTTCCTCCTCAGCCCTCTCCTGGCTCGTCTTCCTCATGTCCTGTGGAAACAAGGCTTTCTGTGTGTGTCTGTGTCTTAGTCTCCTCCTCTTCGGGACTCTGGCCAAATGGGTTCAGGACTCCTCCCCACCCCCTCCCCACCCTCATTATAACTGAACCACATTTTTAAAGGCCTGTCTCCAGATTCAGTCATGTCTAAGGGGCTGGGGGTGGGGGGGGGGAGTTTGAGGGAGTATTGCTGTTGTTTGGTTCTGGGATTTCCCCGTGGGTCTCTTGGGAGCTGCTGTGGGTGCTGGCCAGACTCCTCAACCGGGCTCATCCCCCTCCTACATCGCCCTGCAGTGAGTGAGGCAGCTGGAGAGGTGTCGGGCAGGGCTACCGGTAAGTGGGTGTGGGCATCCTTGCCCCTCTGCTGCTTTCTACCCGCGGGTACCTGTCACCGTGGAGAGCTGTGTGGCTCCCACCCAGCTCACAGCCTCCCGCAGACCTGAGACCAGTGTCTCTCTTGCAGAGATGGGCCCCCCTCACCACCACCCCGGTCACCGCATGCCTCATCCTGGGATCAACGAGCACCCACCCTGGGGGGGGCCCCAGCACCCTGACTTCGGCCCTCCTCCCCATGGCTTCAACGGGCAGCCCCCACACATGCGGCGACAAGGCCCTCCCCATATCAACCACGATGACCCCAGCCTGGTCCCCAATGTGCCCTACTTCGATCTCCCCGCTGGGCTGATGGCCCCCCTTGTGAAGGTAACGTGTCACAGCCGTGCATGTGCTATCTCCACATGAAAAGCTCGTGTGGAATGGTTCCCAGTAGGCTACAAAATGCTCCTTCCAGGCCTGTCCCCTCACATTCCCTTTGCAGTGAACTTGACTAGCCAGACATAACACACCCAAGCCAAGGTCCTGGCCTTAGCAACCATGCTCTGCAGAGACAGTGAGCAAGCCCATGTCCCCGGTGTTCTGTGCGTCTCAGAGTGGACTGGGCTTGACCTATTGGTGTAGGCCCTCAGGAATCGGGTGTCCAGGGGCTGATGGCAGAGAGACATCTTAGAAAGGGGTGACCTGCAGACATGGTACTAAGGGAGAATGGCATCAAGCCTCTGCTGTGGGACCATTGGCGGTGCTGGCCACTGCCACTTCTATCGTAAGACGTTCTGGGACAACTAGTTGAGAATGGTCAGCTGGCGCAGCCAGAAGCAGAGGAGTTGGGAGGCTCTGCTTGGGGCAGCAGTGAGCAGAGTAGACAGCCTGGCCACGGGCTAAGCTACTCTGACCAAGATGGGACCTGGGGTAGAAGACAGAAGCATTGACACCTGGGCTTCCTGGCATGTCTGTGGGTAAACTGAGGGTTCTTTCAGTCACAAGCTTGGAGGCTGTGTCCACATATGTGCTTTCTTGCAGAAGACTCACTTTTATCAGCCCTAGACATTCCCTCCGCCTATAGTTAGGAATGCATTTGGTATGGCTGAAACTCTACAAAGGGTTGGGAGTCCCCAGACAGGGCAGGTTGAGGACCCTGATGCCACCCCAACCCAAGCCTGTTCTGCTCCCCCCAAAATTGTAACTGGGTGGGCCTGAGGGAGCATCACTGGGCATAGTAATGACTGTGATCTCTTTGCAGCTAGAAGACCACGAGTATAAGCCCTTGGACCCTAAAGACATTCGCCTCCCACCCCCCATGCCACCCAGTGAGAGGCTGCTGGCAGCTGTAGAGGCCTTTTATAGCCCACCCTCCCACGACAGGCCCAGGAACAGGTAGGAGCTTGAGGAACAGGGCTGCAGGACAGAGAAATCTGTCTTTTAGCCTGTCTTCCTCAAGTTTGCTTCATGAGTCCCCTAACTTTCAGCCAGGCTGTGGTGAGCCTTAGTGAGATGTGAAGAGAAAAACCACTACTTGAGTTAATCCGTTTGTCTTGACTGTGGGCAGTCAAGTGTGACTGTGTGTCACTGCCCCGATGAAGGACTTGTCTAGTTGAAGCATGTTAGAACAAGAAGTTGTCTCAGCTCCTGCTGCATACAGCTTCGTTACCTGGCTTTGTCACAGGTTCCTCAGGATACTGTTCTCTGGCAATTTCATTGCCAGGCCAGCTAATTTGGAATCCCTTGTCCCCAGTTACAAGATCACAGGCCATGAGGTTCCCCCACCCTCCCCTCCCTCCCCCAGCTGTTTGAGAAACCTGGGGATGGAGGTTTGGGAGCTGGTGGAGTTAGTTGCGCCCATGGTCTGGCCTGTCTGCCTGCCCCCTCGTCTCCGAGTGAGCAGCCGTGGAGCAAGTGCTGGCGTACTTTTTGTGTGGGCTGTGATCAGGTCCTGAGGAAGTAAGGGTAGACGTCTTACGCCTGGGAGATTGGTGGAGTGGTTTTTGTTCAGGGAGGGAGACCGGCAGTCACAGGCCAGGGGGTACCTGTCTTACAGTGAGGGTTGGGAACAGAACGGCCTCTATGAGTTCTTCCGAGCAAAAATGCGCGCCCGACGGCGGAAGGGCCAGGAGAAGAGGAACAGGTGAGTGCTGTGCCACTGCATTCCTCTCAGCCTCAGGGGGTTGGCAAGACCCTATCTTTGCCTAACCACCTTGTCGTGTGTCACTCTGACTTGGGTAAAGGGAGGTCAGCTCGGCCTCTGCTGGGTCTTGGAGTGGTGGGAAGTATTTCTCCTAAGGCCCAACTAACTGAACACAGCATGGGAGAAGCTTGCCATCCATAACTTCAGCCATGCTGTTCATGGGACACCTGATGTGGATGGTGCATCTTTACCTGGGGTGAGTTGCTGGGCTCACCAAGCCTCTCCCCACAGTGCGCCCTCCAGATCTCGCAGCAGATCCAAAAGCCGAGGGCGTTCGTCTTCCCGCTCCAACTCGAGGTCCTCTAAGTCATCAGGCTCATATTCAAGGTCAAGATCGCGCTCCTGTTCACGCTCCTATTCCCGTTCCCGATCCAGGTAGGCGGGACACCATCTCTTGGGGATTGCAGCTCGGGGCTCCTGTGGCCCCTAGGGATTAGACTATGCTGACCACCGAATTGTCCTTCTCTCCCCACAGGAGCCGCAGCCGATCTCGCTCCTCAAGAAGCCGCTCCCGCTCCCGCTCCCGCTCCCGGTCCAAGTCATACTCCCCAGGAAGGAGACGCCGCTCACGGTCTAGGAGTCCCACTCCACCGTAAGACTCTTTCAGGTGGCCTGTGAGGGACATATAATCCTCTGAGGCTTTGCAGTAAATATGAAGTTGTTAGAAGATGTGCTCAAGGCAGCACCCCCAGTGCTAGTATAGGCACTGTACTTCCTCCTCTCACTCCGCTCCTGCCTTTTATGGTTACAGTGTAAAACCAGAGGCAATAACTGGGCTCTTGTTTTAATCATTCTAGGGGTTTGGTGTGGGGCAGGAACCCCCTTTCTCTGGCTGAGCATACAGAAATGGACAAATGAGATGTGTGTGTGTGTCCATGTCCACCTACCTTCCACTTGTGAACACTCACAGCTCTGTAATTATATTGCAGTAGCTCCTTGCTATAATTCTAAGGACTTTCATCCCAATAAATACATCTCCTCTTTTGTGAAACTATAACCTGTCTTCATTTTAGTTCTTCAGCCGGGCTGGGTTCTAATTCAGCACCTCCAATACCTGACTCCCGGCTCGGGGAGGAGAACAAAGGCCATCAGATGCTGGTGAAAATGGGTAGGTTCCCAGGAAGATGCTGCTCTGGGCTTCAGGCATGGGGTACAAGTGAGTTGGGAAAGTTCGATTGAGAAATTCTGAAAAGGGGGGAAAGCCAACAGGGTTTCTGCAGGTTTCCTTACACGTCTCAGTTACACACCACTTGTTAGCATGTGGTGCAGCTCCCAGGGTGCTCCTAGGTCACTTCGTAGGTAAAGGCACCATAGTTTGCTTCTTTGGGGGATTATAACCACTTGTCCCCTTTCTTTCTGAGGCTGGAGTGGATCTGGCGGCCTTGGTGTGAAGGAGCAAGGGATACAAGACCCCATCAAGGGCGGTGATGTCCGGGACAAATGGGACCAGTACAAGGGTGTGGGCGTGGCCCTGGATGATCCCTACGAGAACTACCGCCGGAATAAGAGCTACTCCTTCATCGCACGCATGAAGGCCAGGGACGAGTGCAAGTAGGCAAATGGCGGTGGCAGAGGGTAGGGACCACTGGGCGCGCAGTCTCCATCTTTGGGGAGCAACAGGAGAGGGGACTTTGGCACACCTAGTGACAAACACCATGCCCAACAGCGGCAAGGCCTGGACTCCCCTACAAAGCAGCTCTGCCGCAGAAGCCAAAGGCCCACGAGATGCCCCAGCCCACCTGGTGTGAGCTCCCTGCCCGTGACAGCAGCTGGCGAACACAAGATCCTCCACCCCAGACACGCCTGATGTCGAAGGAACAAGCGTGCCTCCCTTGGCAGGCAGCCCTGGGCCTCTTCATCAAGAGGGCGTGTGTGGAGCCAAAGCAGACCAGCAGGACCATGGACAGGCCACCCACCCACCTCCCCATCCATGCGTGATGCAAAGCTCAGGCAGGCGTCAACACTGCTCCTCTTTAGAAATGGAAAAAACAAAACCTTTTTGATTTGTAAAGTTAAACAGGGTTTTTATTTTTACCCCAAATGGTTTATTAGTTTTAGAAAGAAACTTATTACTGATCGAAAATGACCCCCCTGAAAGAATTGGAGACCTGGTCCCTCTGAGACATGCTGGCCCTTAGTTCAGTTATTTTAGTTGTTGAAGTTGAATTTTCCCCCTGAATGTTAGCCATTTGCTATTACCTGCAGAAACAGGTTCTGAAGAAGCTGATCTGAGGCATCTTCAGGTTAGGGGATGATACCCCAGAGAATCAAGCCCTCAGTGTGTGGTGTTGCATTTTCTCTTATGAGCCCAGCACCACTGCCTACGTGGTGGCCACTCAGACCCAGTGGTGGGGAGGCCGGGCCAGCGGGGAGCCACCTCTGCCCAAGCCACTGGGCCACCAGTGACTGTGTCTATGGGCAGCGTGTTAAGCGCCGCTTATTTGTACAGAAACATTTTTGAAAAATTCTTTTCAATAAGATGCAAAATCCTTTCCAACTTTTCAAGCTGATGTGGTAAAATATTTGATTTTGTTCTAGATTTCCTGTAGCTGTGAACTGTTCAAACGTGTCTGATTCAGGATAAAACAAAAACACGTGCTGTTAACAATTTCTTGTGGATTTTACTGTTTTGCCTTCAAATAAAGATTTTTTTTTTAAAGCCCTCAGTCTTTGTTTGTTTGACAAGTGTGCGGGACTTAGTAGGAGGAGGTGTGCCTAGTGCAGATGGCGCCTGGATGTGGCCCTCTGACTCAGCCTGTTCCTTAAAGGGATTTGCCACGTGGGTACCTGGCCAGTGGCTTCGTTAGTCATGACAGTCTTGTTAGGTGGGACTTGGAATTCCACCACGTGGCTTACTCATTAGGGAATTACGAAGTTTTATGATGAACAGTGATTAACTCCACTTGGGATTTCATTGGCCTGTCTTGTGTCCTCAGATGCTGGCCTGCAAAAGTCATTTACTAAGTTAGAGGTTGAAGCCAGGACTGCTCAGTTGTGTCCCAGGCATCACTTGTCCCAACCACTCAATGTCATATGAGAATGTGTGTGTATGTCAGGCCGCATCCAGGAGCAACTGTGAGGTCAGATGCACTTGTTCAGCCTCACCTGGCACTCACAGCTCCTTCTTCACCTCCTTCAAGGCGTCCTCCATGGTGAGCAGGGCAGGCCTGTGGTGCCGGATATACTGCAGACCAAAGGACAAGACAGACATCACTGCCACTGCCTCAGTCTCCCAGTCTCGCAGTCAGGGGCGAGGCCAACATAATGAAAACTGGTAACTGCCATGGAAATGAAAGGGAAATCCAGGTAGGCTCTGGGCAGGGCAGCCTGCAAGACGTGAGCCACCAAGGCAGACGGCAGGAGTGCACGCAAGCACATGGGGTAGGGAGGGCCTGGGAGCCAGTATCGGCCTGGACCAGAGCCAGTAGCCAAAGCACGATGGGTTATATATAGTCAGAGAGTTTCAGTCTGCACTCTGTCAGCTAATGTACATCCAACGACCAAGTTAAAGGATCCACACAGGTCCACATTTCCAGAGGAACAACTTTTCTTCAACAAATTGCAAGAAAATGGGTGCAGAGAATGAGGAGTGGGGCTTGTAAGCTGCAGTTCTCAAAGTGGGTCCACAGTTGGCACAGCCTGCCAACAATGGGGATGGGGGGCGGGGCAGGTCACAGCACCTCAGGAAACCTCCCAGTTGAGAACTCTAGATTAGAGCCATCATGGGAAAATAGGAACAAAAGGCCTAACTTTGATAAGACATAAAAATTTAAATATGATAGTGATACTAAGTTTCATTCAGTTTGATGTCATAGTGGGATTATGCATATTTTTTTCTTTGGTGTGGTGGTGTGGTGGTTTTGGTGGTAGTGGTGGTGGTGTGCATATATCTTAAAGTGCTCATTTTTAAGAAATACATAGTGAAATAATTGTAGATAAAATTATAAAAACCATCACGTAGAATATCTGAAAGAGCATGATGTCATTCCTACGAGGAAATATACGTATCACATATACACATATTATGTAAAATATTGTAAATAATATACATTATATATTGGAAGCATCTAAAGAATATAAATTGAATTGCTAGTAGTTATCTCTGAAATTGTAGCTGGCCTATAAGTTAACATCTCTGGAACAAGATTTTCATAAAGTCATATCTTTTATAATTAGGTAAACACTAAGTTTTTGGAGGAGAAAGTGATGAGGGTGACAGCTTTGAGCCTTGGCCATGGGTGGGGAGAGGCCCTGCCTGCTTAGGTGGCATTTAGGAAGAGTCTGGAAGGACAGGCCTTGGCAGGAGACACACCCGTCCAGGCTGCGCCATGGAGAGGGAGAAACATTCCCTCGCAGGGACAGGACTGGACCACCAGCCTCCCCCCGAGACAGGTGCTGTGCCCACCTCTTTGGTTTCCTCCAGTGTATGGTAGTGGAAAGCTTCTTGTTCCAGGGACTGGAGAAGGGCCCTGTGCAGCTGCCGGCTAGATGCCACAAACTGCTGCGTCAGGTCCAGCTGCTGCTTCAGCAGGTCGTTGAGCGCGAACACAGCCGGGCTGTAAGCTGTCAGGGCTGCCAGACCCAAGTCACACGCCTGCAGCCCAGCCCCTCCCCCGCCTGCACCTCCCCCACCATAGGTCAGAATGGAAGTACAGTCACATGCAGATAAATGACATTTCTGTCAACAAAGGGACACATATATGACAGTGGTCCCACTACGCTGCACCATCTAGGTTTGTATAATTAGACTTTATGACTCTATGACACAAGCACTATTCATGCAATTGCCCGACACCACATCCTTGGAACAGAGCCCTGTCATTAAGCAGCACACGACTGTAGTGAGGCGCTGCCTGTTCCATCCATCCATCCATCCGTCCGTCTCTAGTGAATGAGCTGTGTTCTACTGATATCTGTGTGTTTCAAGACCTATGCATGTCTAACATTCATTTGTAGGCAGCACTGAAACTCTTCACCTTAGCACCCAATACAAACATATCTGGGCATCTAGCACCCCAAAATGTGCAACTGCACAACATCATTCTTGTTAATGCCACTGAATTAACGGTGTACTTACAGATGGCTGAGAGGGAAGTTTTATACAGTGTGTTTTGAAACATAATTAAAATAATAATTTTAAAAATTGTATAATTGTTAAAAATCAGTAAATATTATGACTACATAGTAACATGGAAAAATCTCTGAGGTTAAAAAAATAACTTTGAGATGTGGTACATATATACAATGGAATATTACTCAACAACCAAAAAAGAGAAACACATGTCTTTTGCAGCAACTTGGATGGAACTGGAAAAGATCATGCTGAGTGAGATAAGCCAGAAAGAGAAAGAAAAATACCGGATGGTTTCACTCATAGCAGGAGTATAATGGACCAGGCGAGAAAATAACAAAAATAATGAACAACCATATACCAGAGACATTTTGTGGGGGTGAGTGGGGAATGGGATCAAAAATTGGGGTGGGAGGGTGGGGAGGGAAGTGCACGGGACTATGGTGATGGCACATGGGTGACTTGGTGATGGGAAACCTGCGGGGATTACAATTGAGATGGAAAAAAAAATGTACAAAATGATGTAAAAATAAACTGTTATTAAAAAATTTTAAAAAATTAAAAAAAAATCTTTGAGGTTAATAAGTTTTTCAAAGAAGAACAGAGTTTTTTTTAAGGACCTAAACATATTGGTTGTTAACCCAGCATACTTTAATACCTTCATCTCAAAAAAAATCTTAAGCAAATGGAAAAGGTAAAACAATAGGTATAGACTCTTGCTTGTGTCATGAGAGCCATCAGTCACCCCCAAAGAGACCTGGCACAGTCTGCGCTGTCAGGCACCTTCCTTTGGCCTTAGGCCAGGGTGGGCCTGCCCAGGTCCCAAGACTCCTCAGACTCAGCAAGGATGCAAGGGCCACGCTCCCTGACCTGGCCACTGCTCAGTAATTGCTGAATATCTTAGTATCTAGTCAAAAAGGTTCAAAGGAGATCTCTCTCTCTCTCTCTCTCCCTCTTTCTCTCTCTCTCCCTCCCTCCCTCTCTCTCTCTCTCTCTCTCTCTCTCTCTCTCTCACACACACACACACACACACACACAAACAATGCCTGTGAGAAAAGGGACTATCAGTGTGTTTCTCAGAACCCTCCTTAGTTTGACACTTGTTCCATTTGCCAGACAGACCGACGGTTTTCAGACTCTTAGTCTGTCGACTCGGATGCCAGGAACCATGGCAGTGGCCTTTGGCTGTGCCAATCCCCACCAGTGGGTTCCTCAAACTCAGCACTAATAGGGAACACCACACCTCCAAGAAGGGCTGCAAATGTGTCTCCTCCCCCCACAATGACCCGCTGAGCCAGGCAGTTACCTTCGATGGCATCGGTGCTGACCACATGACTGGCAATGGGCACAGGGTCCACATAGGCACTTCCCAAGGCTGGCGCAATGGCTGCCATACCGGCCGCTGCCCAAGGATGAAGGGGGATGGTGAGTGGGTCAGATTCAGCGCTATGACTTCTCATCAACAGACATGCTGTTGAAATAAGCCATGTGAATTTGTTCTTTGTTCTTTTACACATGACCATGGCCAACCCCTTGCTTTTCTGACCTTTCTCCCTTCCATTTTTTCCCCAAACCTGCCTAAAACTTTCTGGTAGGTTCTCTTGCTCCTGGCTGCTGGTGTACTCCAAGGCACTGTGCCCACCCACCTTTGTTTTCCTCTATATGCCATGGGGAAATAGTGCCTGGATACTACTGGTTGGTTTACTTGGCTCCCTCAGTCTTTCTCTTTTCAACATTCCCAGTCTAGAAAAGAGTACCACAAATATGTAACAGTAGTATATCTTTAAATTACAAACAATATGGACAGAAACACACATTTGCTGACGACCAGCTTTAACATCAGAAAGACAGAAGGATGTGGTGAAGGCATGAGGGTTCTGACCACATCCATATTCCCCTTAGAATCTGCTAATGAGGGCTCTTCCTGGTGGTGCACAGGTCAAAGCGCAGCACTGCAAAGCTGGCCATGGTTGCTTTGGTGCAAGTTCAATCCCCACCCCGGAGGTGACCCACATGGTGCAGACCTCTCCTGACCCGCCCACTGTTCCCTCAGCTGTCCTTCATCAATCTGCCAGTTCTGCTCCCCACTCTGACTCTGGGGAATCTTCTCATTGCCTCTGCCCTGTACCCCAGTTCTATATGCATAAATAAAAAGAATTAGCTAATGATCTGACTTCGCATGTCTGGGCTTTACCCTCTTGGAAATGGGCCCCATCTCAAGCTGGTCAAACTCCCTAGTCGAAATGAATCTATCAGGCCAGAATTACACCCCCTTAGACTTCGCAGCAACAAGCTGTGTCTGCGTTGTGGGTGCCCATCTAGAGGACAAAAGGAGCACAAGGATCCTAAAGAGTGTTGTGTCTGAGCACCTGCCACCACTGCCCCATCTCATGCCGGGCACACCCCCTCCTCAGCACCAGCACCCCCAACATGCCTACCTTCTGTCCACTGGTAGGTGAAGGCGGGCTCCAGGGTCTGCACAGCTATCTCCTTCACGATGACTCTAGTCCCATCTCTGGCCTGCTTCTTCCGGGATTTGGGCGTGAGCCTGGGGCAGCCAGTCTCTAGGCTGGAGGAGAATTCAGACCAGGTATCCAGTGTCCTGTCCAAGGGAGACTCCTCAGAGCGCAGTGTCAGCTTGGAAGCTGTGGGACTTGGAGAATTTTCAAAATCTTCTGAGTAACCAGAGTGCACTGTGCTACCTGTACATGCCTGAGACAGCGGCATCAGGCTGGCAGACAATGCAGACTGCTCACTGAGGTGCTCTGACACCTCACTTCCAGTGGGGGGGCCCATCACCCCAGGGCTTTTGCTTTTCCTCTGACCTTCTTTCTAAAAGGAAGAATGGCAGAAAGCACAAGAAAGTGTTTTCCAACAATCAACGTGCTCAGAACACCAGTGCATTAGGATGGGGCACATCGGGGCCCACCAAGAAGGCTGCCTGCTGACCCACCTGCGCATGGAGGCGGTCAGGCCTGGGGTTCCTGCTTCTATAACTGAGGTAGTATCAGTCTCTAGCACAGTCTGAGCTGCAGCCTTGTACTGTAGCCTTTACAAGCGAGCAGCACCCTTACAGCACTTTAACTTCAGCAAGGAACCCAAGAGCACCCCACTCTCAGCAGCGACAGGGGACACATGGGTGGCCAGTGGTACACTCTGTGAAAGGGTCATTATAACAGACCACTGCCCCTCAGTGTCTGCAGGGGGTTGGTGGAACCAGGACACCAGAATCCAAGGCTGCTCAAGTCCCTCATATAAAACAGTGTAGTATTTGCATAGAACCTAGGTTTCACTTCCCACAAACTATAAATTGTCCCTCAATACTTAGCTTACTGAGAGTTGTTTTATTTTACCATCAGTTAAGTATTGGGTCTTTTGAATACTCATTTCCAGTTTATTGATTTGATCATATGGTTTTTCTCCTGTTTCACTAACAGTTAATTATGTTGATTCCTTTACAAATGTCAAGCCAACCTTGAAATTTCTGTGAGTAAACTCATTTCATCAAAGTGCGTTGTGATTGGCATATACTGCTGGATTGTATTATTTAAGGGTCTTTTGTTTTAAATTCATAAGCTATATCTGCCCATAGTTTTCTTTTCCTATGTCCTCATCTGCCAAACTAGACATTCCATAAAGAGTAGAAATAGGGCCCTCCCTGATGGTGCACGGGGTTAAACCCAGCACTATGAAGCTATCTGCAGCCACTGCAGCATAAGCTTAATCCCCAGCCAGGGAGCTGACCCACATGGCGCAGCAGACCTCTCCTGACCCCCCGCTGCTCCCCTCAGCAGTGTATTTCAGTGGATCTGCTGGTTCAGCTCCCCACTCTGTCTCTGGTGAATCCTCTCACCCACCACACCTCTGGCCTGTACCCTAGTTCTGTATGCATAAATAAATCTTTAAAGAAAAAAAGAGTATAAATAGCCTCGAATGTTGAGGAGTCAATAAATATTATTTTTAGACTCAAGCTAGAGAAAATGAGCAGTGATTTCTTCAGACAGCAGGAAACGTATGTCAAACAGTGGGGCCAAAGGCACGAGGGGGTGATTTTTCTCTATATACTTACAATACCTGATCAAATGTAAATGCTCTGTATTGCGAGAATGACTACAAAGTCTGTACGTGTTCAGTACAGATGGGACCACACAGTAGGTCTAACTGCACAGTACAATAGGTCCAGAGATCATTAAAATGTTGATGAAAAAAGAGAAATCCCACTGACACTGACAACTGACCTGCGGTGGTTGAATCTGAGGGTTTGGAAACAGCCGCCTCGTCTTCCCAAACATGCATTTGCTATCAAGCTGGTACTGACGTGCTAGTGACTGGGCTCTGCTGGTACAGGTGGTTTCAGTGGGGCCTGCTTTAATTCTGTATTACGTGGCTGTACCCTCTTATCACCGAAATCAGGCTCTTTCATGGGGTACTCGACATTTTGCATAGTGGGGGGGTCCCAGTGTGCAGTGCAACACACTGAGCAACCTCCCCGGTAGCCACCCACTGAGATACCAGGAGTACCCCTCCCTGAGTCACTGTAGGCACCACCAGTGTCCCCTGGGTGCACAACTGCCCTTCGTTAAGAACAACTGGGCGGCCCTCCCTGGTGGCGCAGCGGGTTAAGCGCAGCACTAAGAAGCTAAAGCCACTTCTGCATGGGTTCGATCCCCACCCAGAGGTGACCACATGGCGCGGCAGACCTCTCCTGACCCGCCCATTGCTCCCCTCAGCACTGCACTCCGTCAGTCAGCCTGTTCTGCTCCCCCCCACTGACTCTGATGAATCCTCTCACCGGCCCTGTACCTCTGGCCTGTACCCCAGTTCTGTATGCATAGATAAATAAACCTTTAAAAGAAAAAGAACCACTGGCCTAAAGGAAGCTTGACCACTGCCTTTCTATGTAACAGCCTATAAGGAAAAATCAACTGTGCTCACCTTCTGTTCCCAATTTGATTTCTCACTGACAGCTGGAGTCAGATCATCGAGGGATAAAATGTTTATCCTAAAATCTGTAATTAAAGATGTAACAAGACAACGTTTACTCATTTATTACATAAATGTTGATTTTCATGTTGTACTTGGCTGGACTGAGTTCTAGTTCAGGAGACAAGCCCAGGGGTCCGCCTCCACCAGCCAAGCCACACGCTTTTCCTAAAGGGCTGGCAGGTGAATGTTGATGACTTTCAAGTGAGGCTGTCACAGCCACCTGGCTCTGTCCCAGTGACACAGCATGGTTGTGTTCTGATAAAACTCTGTTAATAAAACACATGCCATGCCTCCTGGCCTCTGGCCTTGACGGATGATCCTGACTCAGTAAAGGTGCATGGTCACAAGTGTGCACAAGGGAGGAGGGGGTGGTAGAGACACCTCAGCAGGCTTGAGAGTGGACTCTGCGCTCCTAAGCTCTCATTTAAAGCATGTTAAAGCATGTTAAAGGCACTGGAGCCTAAGGTGAATGACCACCTTGGCACGCCAGACAGCCCGGAGGCAACCTGGAGACAGGGTTCCACAGAAGGCACAAGTGGCCAGGCTAAGTCAGAGGTGACGTCTCGCAAAGAAACAGGTTGTGAGTTGTGCCTCTGGGGATGGCAGGGCACTGTCAGCAGGGAGATGACATCAGGTCTTCTGCACAGGGTACATGAGCAGGGGCGCTAGGGTGAGAGGAGAAGGGACCTGAACACCCTTTTTGGCAAGCTCAGTGGAGTAAGCCCCAAAGGCCCACTGAGGCCTGCACCACGCCAGGACCCAGGTGGCATCCTGCCTCATTGTTCCAGTGCAAGGGGCTGGTCCCTCCTCCACTTACCTCTGCCCCTGACTGCAGCCACAGTTAATGTGGCAGTTAGACCCAGGAAAAGCCTTTCAGTTGGCCCAGGGCAAAGGCCCTCGGGTAGATTTTGCATTTGCACGCTTGGGAACAATGTTGGCATTAGCTGAGGAATAATGACATCACTGCCATGCTGGCCAGCCCTTTCAGGCATGCCTTTACTGGGAAGGACTGGCTGAGGCGCTTCACTCTCTGACTTAACTCTGCTCTCACCTTACCAATGGGAACACTGAGGCACAGAGAACCCAAGACCTAAGGACAGTAAGGGAGGATCAGGATGTCTGTCCAGGTATACCAGACCCCAAACTCAGATCTACACTCACCTCTCCTAGCCTCCTGCCTTGCTCAAAGCTGCAAGGGGCGGGGGGTGTCTGGAGGGTAACCTACCACATTCCTCAACCCTTGTATGGGCACATGGAAGGGACATACCTCTGCTGGTGGTGCCTCTCCCACTCCTGCTGTGTGCCACCTTGGCATATTAAATATTTTAAGCTGAGGAGCTTGACCTTCACCTGAGACAGATCTGAAGACCCTGCATCAGGTCTCCCTGTGCATGGAGGAAGAGAGCCTCCTGGGCTGAGACAGAGCTGTGGACAGGAAACTGGGCAAACAGGCCTGACTCAGTTTCCCTGCTTTACTGCCCTTCACTCAGTTTCCTTTGTCCTTTGACGTTTTCCCACACCTTTCCATTCTTCAGACACTCAGGTCCTCATTTCCTTATCAAGGTTCCCACGTTGCATAAAACTTTCATGGCCATGTGTCATTTAATAATGGGAATACAACCTGATACGTGTTGTTAGGGGACTTGGTCCTTGTGTGAAAAAGCATTAGCAGTGGATCTTGTATGATAAGAGGCCATGTTGAGCCAAAGAACCTGAGACAAAATGGACTAAATGAAGCACAGGCACAGGATGCTGTCAATGTGACATGTGAGATGCAGCTGCTGGCATGAAAGGCTGTGAAGGTATGACAGCTGCGTTAGGAGGCCACAGGAATTGGGGACCACCATCTTATGTGCGCATGGTCTTGTAAGTCAAAATGTTATGTAGTGCATGACTGCAGTAAAGATTATTCGCTTTCTGTGCACTTTTCTCCTGTTAATGTCGAGCCCTAGGAAAGCAGGCAAAGCTATTTTTCCCCACACACACCTGGTCATGCACATCTGTGACTGTACTTGGGCTGCACAACTGGCACCTGTGGGCACACATCACACTCTCAAACACAGTTCTAAATGAGGGGTTGTGGCTCAAGCACCCAGAGGGAAGAAATCTATGAGGGTACCCCATCTTTGTTCTGTCTCCCCTTTCTTAAATACAACGAATGCTAAAATAAAAATAATACTGACTTTGCCCTCCCTGGTGGCGCAGCGGGTTAAAACACAGCACTAAGAAGCTAAAGCCAATTCCACATGAGCTCGATTCCCGCCTGCCCCGGAGGTGACCACATAGCGAAGCAGACCTCTCCTGACCCGCCCGCTGCTCCCCTCAGCAATGTACTTCGTCCATCTGCCTGTCCTGCTCCCCACTCTGTGTCTGGTGAAGCTTCTCACCACTCCTGAGCCTCTGGCCTGTACCCCAGTTCTGTATGCACAAATAAATAAATCTTTAAAAAAAATAGTAATAATACTGATTAATGTTAAACTATTAACAACAGCAATGTTTAAATGTGACTGGCTAGGGATTTGTTTCCCATCCTGAAATGAAGCAGGAAAGGAGGCAAATATCTTTTTATAAGAAAGACAATTGAGCTGCTGTGGTTTGCAGCTTTAAAGGATTTCTCTGGGATTACTGCTCTGTACTGGCTCAGGGTTACGGTATAGACGACAAAAACTTATCTTGGCCCCCTCAACAGGTTAGGGACCCAGCCCTCCATGAACTTCCTGCAGCCAGAACCCGTGACCTCCACACCAAGGCTTGCCGTTCCTGCCTGAGGTGACCTTACACAGGGACACTGGTTACCGTTCATGCTGTCATCGGTGGCTTCAGAGAGTGAGTTTTCCTGCGGCCCAGTCTCACTCCTCCCTGGTGAGGATGAGCAGTGGTTGTGCTCTGCCTTGGAGTGTACTGACTTTGAAAAGGAGCCAGAGATGGAAACCAACTCCGTGCCACCAGCAATGTGAGACTGTGGGGAGCCTGTTCTTGAGCCAAGATTTCGCAGAGTGTTGGCTCCTGCCTGGGAGGTTGACACATGCGGTGTCCTGACTGGCTTCAGGCTGGAAAGGTCCTCACTGGGCGCAAAGAAGGCTCTTGGTTGAGTTGGGATCTGATGCTACTTTGGCAGAAATAAAAGAAACAGAATTACCAAACAGCTGATAAACATGTCCTTTATGGTGGACATCACAGCCATCAGGAGCAAGAGCCCTAGGTTCAGTAAGCAAACCCTCTCTCGGCGCTCCTCATTTCTGGAAGTCAAGGTTCAGCATTTAGACAAGATAATGTTGGGATTAGAAGCACTTCACAAATAATTAAAAATATCACTTTTCTTAAGTACATATTTTTTTAAATAGTTTTATTTATTTATTCATACAGAA